TTCCTTTCCTTTCCTTTCCTTTCCTTTCCTTTCCTTTCCTTTCCTTTCCTTTCCTTTCCTTTCCTTTCCTTTTTCCATTTTTTTTGAGGATTTTTCCCCATTAAAGGTGAGGGAATCAAACAATCCCATGAGCGTCTGACCCACATTCCCTAAATAAGATTTTTTTTTGTTGTTTTTGTTTTTTAGAGTCTCTCATTTTTTAAGAGTAGCCTTAAACTCTGATTAAACTTTTACTAAATTAATTAGAGGGAGCCCTAAAGCAGCAATATCATCCCTGGAGGCTGAAATTTCAGGGKTTTCTGTGTGAAATAAAATGAAAATCCTTGAAACCCCTGGATCCTTACAGACCCTGTGGCAGCAGTTTTCTCCTGTCCTGAGAAAATTAAAACCGAATTAAAACTGAATTAAACCAGAATTAAAACTGCCTGGTGGTGGTCAGGGAGACTCGGGATTCCTTTTGGGATTTATTTCAGATAAATTTATTTGCAATAAAAGGAAACCTGGAAAAACTCGAATATCTGGTGAATCCCAGCTCTCCCAGGGCTGTAGGRTTGGGAAGGTGACTCCAACTCTGTGGGTTTGTGTTTGGTGCCACAGAACTGAACGGGGTTTGTTGGAAAATGAGCTTTGAGCACATTCCCAGAGTTGATTTTCTTGGGCAATACCAGATTAGGGCTGCAGGGACAGTCAGAACTGCCATAAATACGGGAAATGGTTGGCAAATCCTGAAATTAAATCTGTCTTTGTCTCCCAGAGGGAGAAAATCCCGATTTCTGTGCAGATTTTGGGGCACATTATTCCAAAAATTAACTCCCCTGATCACGGGCACTCCTGCCCTGTTCACACTGCATTTCCTGCTGTGATTTGGGGTTTTAGTTCACAATAACCCACAARCCCCAAAGGTCCCAAAGAGCTGCTCCACCCCAAAGTGGTGTYTGATTMCAGATCCCAACAGTTTGGGTTTAAYCAAACCCYCGTCATTTGGGTTTAACTAAACCCCAGTTAGGGAGCCCCCTGTGTTTTGGGATGTAGTTCTTGGAGAAAGCATCCTAACCTGTGTTACTTCTGACTTATAGGGTATCTTTGTTACTAGGGTTCAGCCTGACGGCCCCGCATCCAGCCTGCTGCAGCCCGGAGACAAGATCCTACAGGTATGGGGGGTTGGGGTTATTGGGGTCAGGGTTGGGGTTATTGGGGTCAGGAATGATCCTACAGGTATGGGGGGTTGGGGTTATTGGGGTCAGGGTTGGGATAACTGGGGTCAGGAATGATCCTATAGGTATGGGGGGTTGGGGTTATTGGGGTCAGGAATGATCCTATAGGTATGGGGGGTTGGGGTTATTGGGGTCAGGAATGATCCTACAGGAATGGAGGGTTGGGATTATTGGGGTCAGGAATGATCCTACAGGAATGGGGAGTTGGGGTTATTGGGGTCAGGAATGATCCTACAGGTACGGAGGGATGGGGTTATTGGGATTGGGGCTGATCCTACAGGAATGGAGGGTTGGGGTTATTTCGGTCAGGAATGATCCTACAGGAATGGAGGGTAGGGGTTATTGGGATTGGGGCTGATCCTACAGGTATGGAGGGTTGGGATAATTGGAGTCAGGGTTGGGATAACTGGGATTAGGACTGGGATAACTGGGATCAGGGCTGATCCTACAGGTAGGGAGGGTTGGGGTTATTGGGATCAGGGTTGGGATAACTGGGATCGGGGTTGGGATAACTGGAATCAGGATTGGGATAACTGGAATCAGGGTTGGGATAACTGGGATCAGGGTTGGGATAATTGGGATCAGGATTGGGATTACTGGGATCAGGGTTGGGATTACTGGGATCAGGGTTGGGATAACTGGGATCGGGGTTGGGATAATTGGGGTCAGGGCTGACAGACTCCTCCAGGCAGGGAGGGGTTGGGATTCCCAGGATCTGAATTCACCCCAAACATGCAGTGAATGATTCTCACCCCATGAGCTCCCTTGGGATTTCCCAAAGCTCTGAGGTCCCTCCCAGCCCTCAGCACTGCAGGGCTCTGTGGCTCTGTGATTCCCCATTTTGGCTCAGTCATTGATATCCTTGGAATTCTCCCTGTTGGGAATTTGCACCCCTCTTTCCCAGAACAAGGATTTTTCACTGTTTTAGGGTGAAGCAGGTTYTGCTCAGACCCCAAAACCAGCTCAGATCCCAGCACAATTCTGGTGGGAATAAAACAATCCCTTGGAGCACCCAGACCAACCCTAATCATATTCTCTGTGTCCATGGGCAATCCTCATATATTCACTAATTTCAGCTTTACTCYTAATTGCCAAAAATCCCATTTTTYCCCCAAAACCAGCCMCTRACTYCTSTTTCCTCATATTTTCCTGCTGCAGGCCAACGGACACAGCTTTGTGCACCTGGAACACGAGAAGGCTGTGCTCCTCCTCAAGAGTTTCCAGAACACAGTAGACTTAGTTATCCAACGTGAGCTTACTGTCTAAATATTTTTTTATAAATAGTAAATACGTCTAGCCAGATCTAATGTTCAGACAGATTTATACATAGGAAACCAATTTTTTTTTTTTTTTTTTTGCCAATTGCTGGACCAATGGCAAACGGTAGTGCCAAATGTATAATACTCTATGTTAGTACCAATCATCGGGAGGAAATATATGAATTAACTCTATAAATATATTGTTCATGTGGCTCCGTATTAGTTTTACTCGTCAGCCTCTGGCTGTGCATTGGTGCGTTTTTTTAACCGAGTTCCTTCTTAAAAAAAAAAAAAAAAAAGTCGATTTCATATGATTTCAGAACACAGAAGCACATACGAGTCCTTTAGGAATTCTGCTGTCCATCAGAAACACTGCCTCAAAGTTGTAAATGCCTTTATAAAAATGAAATATATTAACCTGTACTTCCCATGAAATATTTCTATCATGTCTAGCATACGAAAGTATAGAGAAGAAAATATTTTCATAAACACCTCAAAGAAAGTATATATTAAATTAAATTTAATAATGTTCGTTTATTTTCAATGCAAAGATATTCTATGCCTTATGAAAATACCTGTACATAATGCCGTGTGTATAGCTGGCTCCGTAGGGATCAGGAACAATTCAGACACAGGGTGAGAGACTTCTCCACTTGTAACTCTGGGACCTCGGGACAAGGAACCCGCGTGGGAATGGTGGACATCCCCTCTGGAATGGGGTAAATCCTTCTGGAAGGGGGTAACTACTTCTGGAATGGGGTCAATCCTTCTGGAAGGGGGTAATTCCCGCTGGAATGGGATAACTCACTCTGGAAGGGGATAACTCACTCTGGAATGGGGTAAAACCCCTCTGGAATGGGGTAAAACCCCTCTGGAATGGGGTAAATCCTTCTGGAATGGGGTAAATCCCTCTGGAATGGGGTAAATCCCCTCTGGAATGGGATAACTCACTCTGGAACAGAATTATTCACTCTGGAGTGGGGTAAATCCTTCTGGAAGGGGGTAATTCCCACTGGAATGGGGTAAATCCCTTCTGGAATGGGGTAAATCCCCTCTGGAATGGGGTAAATCCCTTCTGGAATGGGATAACTCCCTCTGGAATGGGATAACTCCCTCTGGAATGGGGTAATTCCCACTGGAATGGGTTAAATCCTTCTGGAAGGGGATAACTCACTCTGGAAGGAGGTAACTCCTTCTGGAATGGGGTAATTCCCTCTGGAATGGGGTAAATCCCTTCTGGAATGGGGTAAACCCCCCTGGAATGGGATAAATCCTTCTGGAATGGGGTAAATCCCCTCTGGAATGGGGTAAATCCTTCTGGAATGGAGTAAATCCTTCTGGAATGGGGTAAATCCCCTCTGGAATGGGGTAAATCCCTTCTGGAATGGGGTAAATCCCCTCTGGAATGGGGTAACTCCCTCTGGAATGGGGTAAATCCCCTCTGGAATGGGGTAATTCCCTCTGGAATGGGGTAATTCCCTCTGGAATGGGGTAAATCCTTCTGGAATGGGGTAAATCCTTCTGGAATGGGGTAACTCACTCTGGAATGGGGTAAATCCTTCTGGAAGGGGGTGATTCCCACTGGAATGGGGTAAATCCTTCTGGAAGGGGGTAAATCCCTTCTGGAATGGGGTATCTCGCTCTGGAAGGGTATAACTCAGTCTAGAATGGGGTAAAGCCTTCTGTAATGGGATAACTCCTTCTGAAATGGGATAACTCCTTTTGGAATGGGCTAATTCACTCTGTAATGGGATAATTCACTCTGGAATGGGCTAATTCACTCTGGAATAGGATAATTCCCTCTGGAATGGGATAACTCCCTCTGGAATGGGCCAGGTTGGACACTGGGGCTTGCAGCAGCCTGGGCTGGTGGAAGGTGTCGCTGCCCATGGCAGGGGTTAATCCAGATGAGATTCAAGATCCCTCCCAACCCAACTCATTCCATGGGTCTGTGATTCCAATTCCCTCTGGAACTGGTTAACTCCCTTCAGAACGGGTTAACTCCCTCCAGAATGGATTAACTGCCTCCAGAATGGGTTAACTCCCTCCAGAATGGGTTAACTCCCTCTGGAATGGGTTAACTCCCTCCAGAATGGGTTAACTCCCTCTGGAATGGGTTAACTCCCTCTGGAATAGGTTAACTCTCTCCAGAACAGATTAACCCCCCTTCAGAACCCGTTAATCCCCTCCAGAATGGGTTAACTCCCTCCTGAATGGGTTAACTCCGTTCAGAATGTGTTTAACTCTCTCCAGAACAGTTTAACCCCCTCCAGAACAGATTAACCTCCTCCAGAACAGTTTAACCCCCTCCAGAACAGTTTAACCCCCTCCAGAACAGTTTAACCCCCCTCCAGAATGGATTCACTCCCTCCAGAACGGGTTAACCCCCTCCAGAACAGTTTAACCCCCTCCAGAATGGGTTAACCCCCTCCAAAACGGGTTAACCCCCTCCAGAACGGGTTAATCCCCTCCAGAATGGGTTAATCCCCTACAGAACAGTTTAACTCTCTCCAGAAAGGGTTAACCCCCTCCAGAACGGGTTCAGTCCCTTTGCTTTGGCTCTTCCCTCGATTCCATGTGCACACACTACAGGAGAACAC